TGGATTCAAAGGAAATACCATTTCATTATATTAACAAGAAAAATTCTCTTTTATTTTTTATCAATTGATCCATAAAAATTGCTTTGCAACCACTTCCGCGATTCCATTAGATACATTGACTTCAATCCACCTGTTTTCTGTATACAAATTTGTTTGTTAAGGCTTCAAAATCCACTCTCAGGATTCATTAAAGTTTTTTATAAACAAAATGTGACTCAGTGGCAAGAATTTAAATAACGGATAAAACTTTAATTAAAACTACACGTTTTCCATTGGAAGAAACTCAATTTCAAACAATAAAACAATTGTGTAAATTCTATTTTAAATTATTTATAAAAAGCGCTACTATCTTTCTACACAAGTATTCTTAAAAACACTTCGACAACAAAGTTATTTGTTTCTTGAATATGGTTAATTACCCGTGCCAACATGGTGTTTCCAAAAATTTGGATAAGCAAGAAATATTCAAAACCAATTCATATTTTTATAGCTCAAACAGAGTCGACATCCAATGTTAAGGATTTTATAGATATATACTCGGAGATAATTAAAATCACTTTACATCTTTTGTACCTCTTGAAAAAATATAATAATTTCTAAACATTTTGTATTTGCTAATTTTATATACAGCCCACTCTTATTTCATTCTCCAGCACCTCAGCAGGTAGCTGAGGTGCTGTTTGTTTCGAGTATTGGCCCTAACTCTGACGGCCACAGAGGATCCTGGTGAACCATTTTCTCTCCATCTCGGAGATCATCCAGGCCTCCAGAGTCAGTTTTCCTGGCACATGAAGTTCTCCTTCCTTCCTGAAATCTGTGATTGTAGTAGAATGTTAAAATTCAAAAACTCTTCCTATTAGTGTTACACTGGGTGCAATATTAGGTTTTCAGTATCAAGCAACTTAGCACTAGGGAATTTAACGTTCATTTGGTGACTTTGATAAACTTCCTTTCATAGACTCTCACCTGTGGATGCCCTCCTGACAGACCAAGTAAAAGCCCGTTACGGTTGATCACGTAGAGACAGACTATCCTGTAGGTATACGGGAGAAACTGAGCTTCCTTCGGGAGATCGACCGGCAGCTCTGTGCCACGAAGTAGAAAAACTTGGATTGGTATCGAGAGTAATGCAGCCCGCAGCAGCAGTCTTGGAGATACCCAAAGTGAACGAGTAATTCTAATACCTTGCCAATGATCCAATCCAGTCTGAAAAAAAAAATTCAGTAATTTACGAAATCTGTTATTAAATTCTTCTACAAACTGATATTTGTCTGAGAACAAGTCTAAAATTGGAGTCAGTAATTTTTATTTTAGCTTTCAATATCGTTAAAACAGGTAACATTTTAATCAAGTTATTTTCCTGATATAAGTGCAAAAACGAAAAATTGATGCCTAGTTTTTTTTTGTACTTTACCCATGTCAAATGAAAAAAAAATTACCAGTAAGTATGACAGTTTGGTTAAAATGCCTAAAAAAATTTACAAATGATACTGAAAATTAGTAATTTAAGAAACACCTCATACCTTAGTCTACCAGAAATCGCTAAGGTTTTAGTGATATAGTGATTACTTCACTTACCGCTAGACCACCACTTTGCCCCCCTCCATCCCCAAAACCGCGTGAACATTCCTCCGAGAGCCGCCACCATCAACAGTCAGCGTTGTAGGAGAAGAGATTGCACCACACCAAGTTCCCAGCAGCAGCTCCTGCCTCAGGAAATAATCAGACATCAAAAATGATTGTCTAAGTTGTGAAAACGATCCATAGGCAAGTTTTGAGATAGGTAGAGTGTTTGAGCTGCATGATCATTTGTTGCACCTGAGTATTAAAAAAAAAAGAAGATGCTTGCGGCAACATACAAAATAAAATACATTTTACTAGCCCAAATATAAGAACAACATTTTCCATACACTGACTCCACTATACTACCACTTACCTCTCTTCCTTTCCTACTTACCTTTCTTGTTCCGTCTGTCTGCTGACCCTATATATATACCTCCCTTCCTTTTCATTAGTGTGACTTCCGTTAAAATGGTCAAAGTCGGTCCGAACAGTTCGTCGTGAGTTCCTCTCTATATGTGCGGGTATTTGTTAGTGGTACCAACATGATTAAAATAACAGCATCAGTTATAAATCTTATGATAACTTTTTAAAACTTGCACCTATCCTTACAGGGCAACCTTGAAAGCGACGTTAGGGTACAGGATCTTCCCATAGCCGAGGTCCAGCAGCTGGGAGCATCGCTGCTCATGATCGGCCCAGATGTGTGAGAGTTTCTCTTACTGGCTCTCTGCAAAATGTTTCCCATACAGCGCAGCAGGCACTGTTCCTCTTGTGCACAACTCATGAGACTGTTGGGAGCCTCTCAAATGTGACTCCATATTACAATAAGTGGGAGTGACAAAATACAGCCTATATCGCAACCTAAGTTTTTTTTTCTGGGTTGCCTTGCACCGTCTCGCGTCCGTGCAAACTTCTTGCACCTTGGTTTGTAATGCGGAAGGAGAAACTGTTGCTTTCAGGGTCTCTCCACTCACTACGTTGAGCGGAAAAGATTCTGGTTCGCCCAATCATAGGTTCAGCGTTTAGTGTTCACCATAATACCCACCTTAAATCTTCTAACCTGATGCATATCAGTATTCAGAAACTGAATATCATACTCGGTTCGAGCAGTAGTAACAAGACACCGCATCAGCCAAGATTCGAGTCAAATAATTTACGGCAGAACACCTCCACTGGAGTCAGATACAAAAGGAGGGTACAATACTACTAGTTTCATAAGTTTATCAACAGTGTTTCCTTAGAAATTCGGACGGACGTTAGGTCACAAGATCTCTAAAATGTGCCTCTAACTGCGCTTCTATACTCTATTTTACGTAGATGGGTTCTCGCGACATCCCAGAGATAACCAAGCTACTATCAGAAGGAATGTCAAAACAGCAGGAAAATGAACATTTTTCCCCTTGCCTTTGCAAGAAGCAGAATGTTACGAAAGGGTTATAGCAAATGTATCCCTCCCCTTTTCCACTTCCCTAGTGAGCAGAAAGACATTGGTGGGAGTTCCCTCACTGGCATCAAAGAATCCTCCCTTGAGGTATAAACAAATTACTGAAATATCTGGAAACCTTATTTTCACACCCGTAGGTTATTGCACTATATATTCCTCATGAAGTGATCATGAGGCCGACTTCAGTATTTGCGCTTAGTTTCTTTGACAAACTGTCATGAGGATACTGCCGCGTAGTATCCCCTCTTACACATCGTGACACACTGCACCAGGGTAAGATATCTGCGAAAGCTTCGTCGTAAATAAACGTAAATGGAGCCAACGCCTGGGGTGAGGCTCCGGAGTCAGCCACCAAGGCCATCAGTGTAATGATGCGGCCAAGAAGGATCACGTGATGACACACACATACCTGAAGATGGTAGAAACACTTTAGCTAACCCGAAAACACTCAATATATTCCCAACATTCATCAGCACACCGGAAGAGATCATTAGTAATATTTATCACAAGTATAAACTGTTCCTATTAAAGCAAGTTAGTGACAAAAACATACTGTGTTAAATTAAAATATTTAAAGGATAAGCTAAACCGCAGGAAAGAATACAAGGATCATCAACATGCAATTTTATAATAAGCTATTCAACGGCTTCAAGGAAATATCTTTGTGGACGGGGCGTCAGTGAGAAGGGATGAAGAAGGTAGTGCATACATTTCGTAAAGTCTTGGGGAGTGTGGGGGGGGGGAATAGCAGTTAGATGTTTAGCGTTTCTTTAGTGATGTTTGAAATATGACGTGCAATGTATGATCAGCTTCCACTACGAGATATCAGAATTAATTTCTGGCCAGAGAAAAATATAAAGGCGAAGATGTTTTAAAAATTTTTTCGCACGTTTGCTTATTGTGAGCGAATTTTGAGAAAAGATTGAATGTACATTGTTGACCCGGGTGGGGAAATTGTAATGGTAACCTGAAAAAAAATATGACAAAATATAAATGCACATACCACCTTATCAAAGACAAAAACTAAATTAAAAAAGGGTTTTAGTGCCTTTCTTTCCTGGAAGAGTGGCTTGTGATGGCCCTTGATAATTTCACTTTTTTCAATGTAGATATGAAAGTGTTCCAGTGTGAAAGAGCGATGGAACCGAAGAAAAAAGGCTTGGTGATATCAAAACAAAAGTTATGGGAAATAAGCTTTCACTGATCAGCTTGTAAGTTAACAGTGCCCATGCCTACCACTTTAATTATTACATTAATGTATTCTTCACATATGATAGCTGTTTGAGGGGGGGGGGAAAGGGGATGCCCACGTGCTGCGCGTGACGAGACATTTGACACCTTAAGATCAATGTGAATACAGATGCTATTGGTAAGGTTGATGTTACCAATCACTCACTTGGCTGGGTTATTTGAGAGTGTTGAATGCGCTGTCGTAAAAAGAAACTGTTCTCTCTCTTCGCAAATGAGGACCGTGTCTGGTGCACGGCCTCTACCACCACCAGAACGGCAACTCGCCATCATTGCACCTGTACAACACAGAGAAGCTAAACAAAAAAAAACAAAAAACTGATTATGTGCTGCAGAAGTTTGTACATAGTGACACTGTCCCCAGACTAACACCTTAAATTTATGAACGTTGTTGAGAGAGTGCACAGTACAGTTAGAGATCCGTTGACTTTCCTGATTTGTATTTTATACACTGAAATATTTAAGTTAAACGCTTTACATGTATATTTAAATTCAACAGGAACGCACTTGTATCTGTGTCCAATCTCGCAATTTAATAATTCCAGCTTCTGGTCACCTGTATTCGTAGCACTGAAAAACTACATTAGAATCTTACCTGCATCATATTTTTTTAAATCGAATGTGCCTACTTAAATGTAGTAGAACCGTGATGCGACAGAACTCACCTGCATATCTTGCGACACCTGGCATCTTGAAAGAGTGATTTTGATGGCACCTTGGGAGTTCAATGCCACACTTGGACGAACTACGTCTCCATGTTATGGTCACCATGAAGAATCTAAGGATTGAAATATGCCCAATGGTTTGTACTTTTAATTAAATGAAGAATAGGTAAGTGGGGTATGTATGCGTGGTGTGGTTGTGTGTGAGGAGATAGGGCAGGGAGGGGGGGGGGAAGGTTCATTGACACTGGGCGCATTACCTGCACACTATTCGAGAAGACTAAACTAACTTTAAAGTATTGTATTCACAAATACACTGATGTGATGAAAGGTTGTGGAGTTTTGTGGGTCAGATTTTATGTCCACATGGGTCTATCAGCTGATCCATTAAATAGTTACGCATCCGCGGGCCCTTTCCCAGAGTTCGGTTTTACACCGTAGAAGCTGATCACAACAGTGTCTTAACATTATTCCAATTGCAGGTGGTATTTCGTGAGAAATATTTAAATCTCTCTCCGGTCTTGTTCATACAAGTCTTTCAGTGTATACAGAGCATGTAACTTGTACACCGCCAGCCAGGAATGAATCAATGGAGACATGAACACAGATCTATGCTAGTGCCCACATTAGCACATTAAAATTATCAATTTACACATTCCATAAATGTTCATTAAACTGGACCTGTAAAAATTAAAAGCCACAAGAAATCTTTTTGAACTGTCTAGTGTAACCAAGCCTAAAAATAGCTAATCTAGGCATTTATGAATGTTAAAAAATTCTTGTAGGTTGATTTATTGAAAAAAAAACAGGCAGTACACCTACACTTTTCAAATTATTTAAAGAACTTTAAATAATTATTCCCGTGATCACTTAACGAAGAGAAACTAGCTCTTACATGCAAGTTGTTCGTATCGACCTGGGGTATCGTAGGTGGTGTGCTGGGGTCGTAGCGGCAGGCGTGACCCGTCACTACGTACTTTTGGTGATTTGAGGTGTAGCTCAACACACTGCTGGTACAGTTGCCCTCCAGCGTTATACCTGCCGAGTAGAAACTTTTCCGACATTTCTTATGCAATTTAAGAGCCTCCCTGAACCGGAGACTACCTGCGTCCCGTCATGTAGCTTGCTGCCCCCCCCCCCCAGCTTAATTCGAGAAATGCCTTGCTCCCCTCTACCAAAAAAATCAACTGTCGTTTATATTGTATATCTTTTCTTTGGTTCCTTTAACACACAGTAATCTATTGAACACTATAATAAAAATCTGATAGTTTTTCTTTAAAGCGTGTATGTGTATAGGCACAAAACCCGTAAATCACAAACTTATGACAGTTTCTATCTGACTTGGGGGCGCACACAAGCACGAAGAGTCATCATATATACAAGAGAGGGAAGGGCAGAGAGTAGAACGAGAGGAAGTAGAATAATTTTAGTAAATACAGGTACAACAATGGTAGGTGGAAAAAAAAAAAAAAAAAAAGTGGTATTAGGACAAAAACCCAAGGAAAAAATACCCGTAGAACAGAACCCACCTAGGCAGAAGAAAGGAAAGGCAAAGAAAATTTAATAAAGGAGAAGAGATAAAGCTCAGGCCAAATCAAGTGTGTTCTGAAATTTGGAACATTTGACAATGTAATGAACATCTACAGAGAAAGCCAGGACTAAGATTCTTATTTGGAAAGTTGTGTACAAGGGATGCTTCAACAGGATGGCGTCTGTGAAGACTAGGAAGGTAGCGAGTTTTGGCAGAGGACCAGTTAATAGGATGACTGGTCCTAACATGATAAAAAAGATTATTATTAGTGTCGGCAAGTCTAACACTGTGTTCTAAGTCTAAGAGAGCGGCCAGTTTTTCCAAATTGTTGGAGAGGACAGAAGGAAAGGAAGTAGACTCCTGAAGTATTGATAACAGAGGTACGAACTAGATTACTGTGTAAAGTTTGATGTCTAAGGAACTGAGTTACTAAGATTTAGGAGACTAAATATATATGGAAGGTAAAGAACAAGATTTCACAGTAGTGCTTAAGAAATACCGTTTAGCATGTGATTAGGCAGTTTATAAAATCTGAAGGGTAGCCAATTCGAAAGAAAGAATTAGAAAGTGAAAATTTTCAAGTCAAGAAATTGAGATGTGTCAGATGCGGAGGACAAACTTTTCTTGACAGAAGCATAAGAAATGTAGAGTGCGTAAATACACACGTTTGCGCTCGCGTTATATATAGTTCTCATATTTTATATAATAAATTTTGTACATATACAATATACTCTTGTAAATGTATACATTACATTCAGTACGTATATGAGTATTTCAATACAATACAATACAATACAATACAATACAACACACACACGCGCACGCGCACTAAAAAAACACAAACGTACAAAAAGAGAAACGGCCAAAACAAAAATCACTGGCAAACAAATAACATGTAACAAACTCAAAAAGCACACAGGGTCGGAAGGCTAAAAATCTTTCAATCTCGTATTGATTTCCTTACTTATGCGTCAAGAATGTCCAAAAGTACGACTAAATTAAAAGATCAAACGAGTTTACTTGCGACAATGATGTAATTATCGGCAGAATCTTTACATAACATCCAACGCTGCATTTTTACTCTTAGGTTAGTTCGTACCTGTCTCCTCGTACTGGTCAGTGAAGGATTCGTATTTCAGGATTCTGGTATGGCCAGGCACGGTGACGAGTGCCAGGTAGTGCGAAGCGAGGGTTACAGTGTTACTGGTGCCAGTGAGCTTCCCCCAGGGTAACCACAGGGGCACTATCCTCTCCGTCACTTCCTTGAAGCTCTGTACAGAGCGCCATCCCCAGTACTCCATCACCCGGCCTGGTCAGACGAAGGTAACCTCCTAATTATCATAGTTATCAGTATACAATTTTTAGTCTTGCATACAAAATTACATCTGTGTTAATGATTGGAACTATTCAAAATAGTCTATAACAGAATTTCGGTATTTCTGTATTGCAAATTTGGCAAGATGTCTTTTTAACCTCAGAAAATTGGACTATAAATGCGATCAATTCATTGTTTGTGGTGTTTAGGAGTAAATGGGTATTGAATTTAAGCTGTAACCATATTTTGTCGAAGAATATTTAGTTTATTTTTTTAAGTAGTTCCGTTATCAGTACAAAAATGTGAATCCACTTCAGCTTTTCAAAGCCAGGGTTATGGTTCTAATTATAACCCTAATTTTTAAAGAGGTGAATCGGAAGGCCTGTCAGATGACCAAAAGCCCTAATGTCGGGTCATCATGCGAGACACTTCAGGAAACACTTGTCCTGTTTCCTGAAGTCTTGCCAGTCCTTAGGAACCATTATAGCTAAATGCCACGTTATATTTCTGTCACTGAGCGCAATAATTTTACATTATATCACGTTAACTAATGACGGCTGCCTAATATCTACCGTACGGATTAGGCTTTTGCTTACTCTACTAGTTTCAACATTTTTTCATTGTTATTTACTGCGAAATTTAATTATTTTTGCTCAATAACAGTGCGCGTTTATAAACATATTTCTAACCTATTTTGGGACGCTGAATTCAAAACAAATTAGTTTTGCTGCAAAGTTTGTGAAAAACTATATGTCGGACGATTTCACCCAGAGCCATCATAGCGAAGATATACAAGAGAAAGTTTATGAGCGGTTTGAGGGTCGAGTCCTGCTGGACACTTGAGTAGCAGATACTGAACAATCTAAAAAAGAAAAGTATGACAACTGAAGTAAACCAGGTTTGCGGGACCGTGAGGAAATATTTATGTACATGTTTATAATGAATTTCCGTTAATATTAGTTTGCCATTGTGTACACTACATTTATTAGCTATACATAATTTATTACCTATGATTGTTAAACAATGTGTGGTTCAACCTTCAATAACTAAAATAGTGATAATTAAAAATCTTAAATCTTAAGCAGTGCAACTCTCTCTCCTCTCTACACTTTAGCTTTTATCTCAGTTCGCTGGAAATATACATAATTTACAAAGTCAGGCGATTTCAGTGCGACCTCATTAACAGCAATTAATTTTTCTTTCTTTAATTAAGCAAAGACAAATGTCAGGCACTGTCGCTGAAACAGTGCTAGAGCTAGTTTTCTCCTCTGCTAACACGCAAGCGAGAGCCTTTATATCATGCATGAACGTTCACAGGTAATGGGATAAAAAAAAAAAAAAACCTGAAAGGATATGATAACGGCAAACCATGGGTGGAACGTGGTAAACAGGTAAGTGTTAGTAAATGAAATATTTTCAACTATAAATTAAACTTAAAGGCGGCGTCACACTACAACTATGATCACACAAATAGAATAGAATAGGATACGAAGAAAAGCAAACACATTCCAGACCTTTCACAATTCTGTTGATGCGCCGATTAAAGTTGTAGGCATGCAAGTTGGCTTGCAGGAGAGGATTCAGGTTGTACAGGCTTTCCAGCTCGCCAGATATTGCCTTAAGCAGATTTATGTCCATTACACCATAGTTGGCAGACAAGAAGATTACCAGCTCCTTGAAGTGCACCGGCGATGACACGCTGTTGGGACTGTGCAGGTGGAACTGTGAACCAAAGTGAAGGCCTTTTACGACTGATGTCAATGTTTTTTTCCCCCCTTCCTTCCAGCTCACCCCTTTCCTTTTTTTGCACAAGCGAGGGTGTTGCAGTTCTAATGAAAAATTTAATTCAGCTTAGCCCTGCCCGGTTTATCTTGGTCCGGCCTAAATTGAGTGGGGTGTTGCTGTTCTCAGTGTCATGATTTTCAAACTGGATTACACTATTATTGACGACAAAGTGGAATCAACACTTGTCTATGTTGAAGTGTATCCCACGTGTACACAAGGAAACAGAAATTGGAAAATAAGATTGATATTAATACTCCCAAATGAAGTAGTAATTTACATACTATTGACTACTCCAGTTGAGAGTCTATATAGGAAAACTATTCAGACTCCCAACTGGCGTCGTCATCGCTATGTAAATTTCTAATCTATTTGGGAGTATTAAAATTTATTTTCCATTGCTGCTTAATTAACTATGTGGGATACCCTTCAACATTACTGTGTAGTCGCATGCATGTCACACAAATTGGGAGATAAATGGTGCAAAGCAGACAAATAGTAAAAGGCAGCTGGAGAAAGGAACTTAATGAGAAGTCTCAGTTGTGGACGGTTTTCAGCCAATTGACTGAAGCAGCCTGTCCACAGGCGAAACTTCTCAAAGTTTCTCTGTAGCTGTCTCGTCCAAAAATTTTCCCAACCTTTCCTCCTCTGTATCGGATAGGCCGTCCTAAGAAGGAGATTCCCACTTAAAACTTACTCCAATTCTACTGGAACGAAATCTTTCAAGTTCTTGGCTGAATAACCCGTAATGAACTATATAGACTCATTGCCCCTCCTGAAGACTCCCAGCTCAGGCTGGGAGATTTCAACACTGACCCATCCTGCATGATTAAATATAAAACTAGTTTGATAGTGGAAACCCATGCCGTCATAGAATTGGGTAGAAGAATACTGCTAATATATATTCAGTTTTGTTAAAAATCCTTACTAATTTATCTTCATAAAGTTAATGTTTGCTGTATAGTTAGTAAGGATTCAGAGATTCTGTAGTTAAAGTAATATTAAATCCAGCTTTGCTTGAATGAAATCTATAAACCTGTCTTGTCTAAAGATAAGAGGTATAGCCAACCATAGCCTCATCAACCAACTGAGGTCTCCCAGTTCAGGCTAACTATTTTTATGCTTTAAAACAGTCTTGATTGATGGTATATGATAGGGAAAAAATTTGGTTTACATTTCAAGGATGAAGGAGTAGGGTTAGTAGTAGCGCCATCAGCAATAATTTTCACAGAATTGATCTTGGAGGGGTAGGGATGCCATGGTTTTATTTTCAAATAAGAACAGCTTCCTTATTGACTGCTTTAAACATTCAGTATCTAACGTTACCAATTTACATCAACTGGCTACTAACGTGACCAATTCTCTAACGACGAACAAGGAAAGTAAAATCATCTCAAAGTATTTTTCACATCCATAAATCTGTCACAGGCAGTGTCAGCAAATTTAGAGGAATTGGGTATTTCCACAATTTGTGCTCAAGGATGCTGGGTTTTTAGACGAGTCACCCTGTGGGGAGCTGCACCACTCGAGAAGAGGCTCTCCTAAACTGAGGTAAAAAAAAAAATCAAACCCTAACATTGCGCTAAGGTGACCCAGGGTCGATGCGAGGTGGAGGAGTGCCTGTAAGTGTGATGGGCTTTATCAAAAGTGGATAAGACTACTTCCCCTTTATAGATAATCTTATCGCCCACCTTTCCCATCATTCTGGCACTGTACAAGTTTTACAAGTGAAGCATTAACACAAATATAATTCATTTTCCACAATGTATCGTACTGGACAGGGTAGCCGCAAATTGTGGATGATCAACACAAACCTGTCTGTACCAGAGATCAGTCAAGTTGAGCGCGTTGAACAAGCCATCCCTGGCCGAGAGCTTCGAAAACTTCGCTCCAATACCTGCAAAAGCCACACCTGTCATCTCGACTAGTGCCTGATAGTATTAGTCATTTGATATCGCATTTGCTAGACTCGTTCTGGTAAAGGACAAAAAACGAGGGAAAGAAGTGAAAAGGTATGAGGGATGGAGAGAAAAAGACGAGATGAAGTTATAAAATGGAGGAATAGCCGTGGAGGGAAGAATCGAGTCGTCAATTATACAGCAATGCAACTAAAGGCATGGGACATTAACTGACCTTGTGGATTGGTGATAGTGAGGGAGCCCGTCATAGTCTGGTTCTTGGCGCGGGTCAGGAGGTTAGCCATAGTCACCTCCACGCCGTCCACCATGCCATGCACGCTGACGCGTGAATATTACCAAGGAATGAACACTAGACTAAATACCCATGATTCACACTAACACAAAACAAATATAATTTCATAAATTAAACAAATAAGCCTATTTGAAAATGCACAGAGGTGTACACAATAAAAGTTACTCAACATGTGACTGATATTAGTTTTTTTTTTTTTAAATTGCATAGCCTTAAACCAAGCCTCGCAAATTTTAAATATCAACAAGTGGTTTTTCTTCTGTGTATTGGCACCAAGACTTGAAATATTCCAGTCAGTGGCACAGTAAGTTGACATCAGGCACAGGGTCAAGTTTAAACAAAACTTTAGCGAATAATAACATCCTAAAATAATTAAATTATTCATGTACAAAAAAACTAAGATCCATCTTCATCACGTAAAATACTTATTATATTGCAAGTCCTACCAAGGTTGCCATTTTTTAACGTTGCTTTATGATGTCTGTACAATCAGTCATTTGTCAGTCATCCAGGTAACCTGATAATATACGATTTACAACTAACTGCATGATCCTTCAGTGTTATTTGCATGGTTGTATCTGTCTCTTGCTATTATCTAATTTACTTTTGTATAACTGATATCTAAATGTTAGCAAAATTTCAAGTAGATTATTCAGTCTAAAACTTATCCATATGTAGAGTCGGGGATAAAAATCTTTTTGGTGATAATTGGGATCACAGGAATATAGCTACTCTAAAGCTCTCGTAACTGTCAGACGACCCAGTGATAGAGTAAAGGGAGGTCAGGAGGCCGTTCAAACTTCAACACAGCGTCGGGGCGACCCAGCATCCACTTAACCAAAGCCACTTCATTTAAAAATGTACATGCACAGGACAAAAAAAAAATCCATATCTTTCGTCTTAAAAGGGACCCTGCACACTCCTTCAGGATTTTTCGGGCAACAGATGCATAACATCACTGCACCAGTGATTAATGAAAGTGATGCCAGGGCATTATGCAGCTCAGCAATAAGTTTTAGACTGTGGCACTGAACAAAGGAAATTCGAAGGAATGATTAAGGCACGACTGCATCACTGAGCACCACAATGTCAAGGAAACAATTACAAGTTACTTCAGAAGAGCATTATCATTTTCATCCACTTGAAAGAAATTTAAAGAACTATTCTAAGAAAACCTGATCCGAGATACAATCACGTAAAAAAATTTTACTTAAAATTCCGAAATCCCTCCTGCATACTGGCAATTATTAAAACCACGACAAAAAATAAGTTCCATAGCCACACGTGACAAGATACATGCACATGACGGATGGGGAGGGGGTGATGCAGGAGCACCTGCACCCAGGTAGCTATTTGCGAGGTAGAGGTAATGGGGTAGAGTACACCCGATCTTCAGTCTTCTCAAAATGAACTTTCTGGCAAGAAAACTACCAGTTACATCAGCTCACTCCGTTATTCTGTTGTCAGCTCTTAGACATTGCCACCTACCTCTCGAAAAAAACGACTGTACACTCCCACCTAATCTTTCATACAAATGTTCACCGAAATATCAATGAAATCTTCTGAGAACCAAGTCGACAGAATATTGCTTCAAAACAGTAAATCACAGAGTAACTCACAGCAGCGTGGGCGTGTGTCGAGTGTTGCGGATGGTGTGGCTAAAAAGTGGTGAGGCCGGGAATATGACCACACACGAACTTGTTGAGCCACAAAGCAAAGGGCGCTGGAAACGTCCACACCCTGCACGGTCTGCTGGAGGTGTGGTCGAGCATTAGGCTACGATGTATAAACGAACTTTCACACGGGGGGGGGGGGGGGAATGCACCAAGAAAAGAACACGGGTTGCTAAGAATGCATGGGTGCCCAGCAGCTTCATAGAAAGCAGCAATACCCTTTTAAAGAACAGCGAGAGACATTCTACTAATTAAAGCTAAACGGGTTTCATTTGATATTTTCGCAAAAATATAGATTTACACATTTGAAGAGGCAAAGGAAAAAGGAATAGAAAAAAAAGTCAAGAGGACCAAGAAGCATCAGAAAATAAAGACCCAGAAAATTAAGCTGATCAGTAAAGATCGTTGAAAATAATTCAAGATAAACTACCAAGAATACGAAAAATCGTGGAATAAGATAAGAGGACCGTAACAAGATAAAAGGGCCTCTCGAGTTGAACGTTGTGGTCTCCCCTGACGTTGGCGTCTTTAGTGAAAGGGCTTGTAAGCGTGCACCTGACACGGCTCACTCTGCAGGCAGAACCGCGTCATCCTTTGACCATTCAAAAGTGTCCGTAGCCCCCGTTCTCTGAGGGAAGAGAAGCAACAAGTGTGACAAGTTATTTAAGCGCTAAACCCGCGAGCCTTTACTCTAAGGATTACAATAAAGCAATTAGGAGAGAAAAAAATTAACCACCCCCCCCTCCCCAGACAAGCAATATATATGTAGCTTCATTCTCAAAAATTAAATCCAAACATTAAATTATGCTAAATCTGATTTATTGCTAAAAAAAAAAAAACAGGTTAAAATTTCCCCGAAATCTAGATAAATACGCAGTTCATGAAGGGAGGTGGACAGTGTCAGCCTCTAACACTAAAGTTTATGCTGAAGAAAGTCGAATTATTTTTTTAAACGCCGAAGAACAAAAACACACATCCAGCTGAACCGATCATCTGGGTCAGCAATCATGGAAAACCCTGTGAATGTGGCCCAAAAGATTATGGCAGGTTATTGTCAGTACATTATAGAATATTCACGTGTTCATTACACCCTGATATTGTTTGGGCACTAAAAATGTCCTCTTGTCAAGTTTCATATCTGCCACAAGTCTTGGCAAATTTAGACTAAAGGTTAAATATCTCCTACCACTTATGCCTAAAAACATCTGTGCTAAGTCAGGCAAAGACGTGGTAGTGACACCCAATCAGAAAGGCCGACTCGCATTCACGTACATTTTAGGCAGTGCCTGCAATCTTCGCTAGTAAAACAACTCATTATTTTCCAAAGCAAACAGCGCAGATTCGTTGCAATAACTGCATAAGAATTTCAGCATCACGAAATTAATCAAAATTACTGCTACGACATCAGCGGGCACTCCCCCCCCCCACCCCATATTAATCCCGCACAGATGCGACGCCAAGCAGAATACTAGCAGTGAAATCTTCCTCGCCTTCTGATACAAGCAATCGACGTTATGTTTATGCATTTGGAATGAGGGGTAGGATTTATAAATTTAATCATCTCTTTCCTTAGCAAGTCTGAATAATTCTTACATATACGGAAACTACCCTCAGTAGTAATTCTGATTACACAGTTTGAAAGGGAAAACAATGACTTGTCCGCATTTACTTGCGGTAGCTTATACTATGACAAATCATCTTCACACTTGATACGCGTGCAAATTTGAACAATTGATTTGGCTTGCCGACACCACGCTGCCAGAAGTATGTTGGTTGTGACTTAAGTCAACTTCTTTGTAGCAATTTTTTAGAGATTAAAAAATTACGTTGGGGAAACTGCAAAAGTGACTGAAAAATGAGGACAGATAGGCCCTACAGAGCAACCATTGTTAATTATTAAATCTGCCCGTTGGCAGGGAGGCGGAGGAAAAAGACTGAAAAAACGCAAGCCACGAGGCCACTAGTTTTCAACCTTTTTTTTTTTTTTTTTTTTTTTTTTTTTTTTTTTACATCTTATTCTGTGGCACTCTTAGTCAATTTTGTATTATAACTATTTCCCCAGGAGTACTTCAGTACTAATAAAAATACACATGCCCGTCTGCTACACGTCCCTTACAACCCGACGCCAGTATATAAACGCCAACTTTCCTTCATTGTTTGCGACTACGGTGATCAACTCCAAGGCTGAGGGACTGATTACCTCATCTTTTGTATATAGTTCTTCTGTCTTCCAATTATGTCCTTGAATTTGTATTTATGAAGCCACAGGTTGATAATGTCTACAACAAAGATACCCAGATGTTGCACTTTTGTCTAATTTCCATCTTCTGTATCTTGTTTTCTGATATTTGGACTGTGACTGGCAGATTCTTAGGTGGAATATTGGGCAGATGTACCTCGACCGATTGTAGTTCTTGTTTTTATGTCTGAACGCAACGAAAATACCAATTCTCACAGGGAAGCTGTGGAAAATTGCATTAAAATTATCAGAGGCTTGCGCAACTTAGATATATTCATTCTTATCTTTGTACATAATTCGTCCGGAGGCACTTCCTTATAATTTCAGACTGCCATCATTACGTATTCCAGTTAATTATTTTGCGAGGCTGAGCTTCGACGGGTTGATACTGGGAAATATTACCGATTTTCATTGGCAGGTACTTCAAGATGCTCAAAAATCAATGGCACGATCCTTCATTCTCTGTTGCAACATGTGGGAGCATCCATGCTACCTTCCTTCACTTTGAAATCCCAAATTAATTTATCTCTGAAGAACATTAATTTAGCGGCACCAATGGACACTAGCACACAAGGGCGCCGCGGCACCCTGGTTAAAAAATTAAGACTTCGCAAGGTTGACCTGGAAATGCCTAAAATTGTTAAATTGGCTGCAGCATCTCCATGAAGCACGTGGGGGAAAGCTCTTACCAAACTTAGCTAAAATCAGCCACAGCTCACCAACTTTAAATTACCTGTCCACCTTGAACCCCGGGGAAAAATCAACTTTCTAAACCAGCTTGACAGGTTCATGATGAAAGCTTGCTTAGGTGAAGCCTGGCGATGGTGCGCTAGGGGATGGCAGGGACCCCTTGGTGTATCCTGGGAGTATAGCAAAGACCTGCAGTGCCCCTGGGACCCCTCCCCCTCCTCCAAGTAGAGCGCCTGGAAATCCCCTCCCCCCTCTTGTAGTGTCTGGAGATAGTGGCAGGAACACCTTTTAGTGTGTTCGGGGATAGTACCTATCTGGATAGTTGCCCGGGATAAGCGCCCCGGACCTAGTATAATTCAAAATTCGAAGAGCACTGACCGTTTAGACAGTTCAGACATGGCAATATATAAAAAAGACGAAAGAAAAGGCAAAAATTCAACTACTAGCATGAATAAAACAAAACACTCACATTTAAAATAACCAGGGTCACTTAAAAATAAATGGTTATCATTACTTAACTCCAAGTTAAGACCATCTCTCCAGGCACCACGGCAATTATAAACACCACGAGGGAAGCGAAGACGGCTTAAGTGGGGGCAAACAAAATGTGCTTCCCAGTCAGTTGCATGCTAGAAGCTACAGAAGGCAGTAAAGTACATGGGTGAGGTGAGCGCATGTCCAGTCTTCAGCTTATAGTTTCAAAGTGACTTCTGTTCGAGGGTCAAACACCCAGGTTCTCAACCCACTATAACTTGCTTGCTAGTCTGTAGGGCTCACCAGGCTTGCCACTTGGCAAGGACATGTGTGAATATGGCCCATGAAGACAAGTAGACGGTAGAACGGGCGTGTTGTAGCAGTCTTTGCAACCGCCCATTCTTTTTTCAAGAGACCAACATCGCTGGGGGTACCAGCAAAATTCTTCATCCTTGAGCTGAGCGTGGAGACGAGCAAACCATTGTTTGATCTTTTAAACTATGAAATGACAAAGTACGCAGAGGGCCAGTGCAAAATCTCCTGACTAACATCGTCTCTAGGAAAATCTAACATCTACGGATGCAGTTTCTTGACAAATATGGAACCCAAACAATTTTGGCATTGTAGACCGAGCTCGAATTCCAATAAGTTATGTACGCCCCAAGGCATCTACCTCTTAAGATGCAATGAACTTACCCATAACACGGATGTTGTTGAGGTTATAATGAGCAGTGAGTCCTGGGCGTCTCCCTTTGTCAGGACATGCTGGAGGTCACTGCACTGCTCGCCGTTCATCACATTACACTGTGGGATGGCAGCATCATATTTACTTTTCTAAGATACTGTAAATAAAAATGACTAAAATCTTATTTTTAACTCAAATCTATGATGGTAGGCAGTAGCACCAGAGCCTATGGATAAATGTTAAAATTTATCATGAAAAGAGTAACATGAGCACACTTTCATTAAATTTTATAACTCCCTTATGAATGTTTCTTTTTAAAAAAC